GCTTTTCATGATATCCTGCTATATCTCAGAATATCTCAGTCTGAGGTTTTTCACCATTTCTTATGGTTATATATGATTAAGGTTGGTAAGAAAGAGAAACACCTGATAAACACTTAAAGTTGCTTATATATACATATATACCTGTGTGTGTGTGTATGTATGTGTGTGTGTGTATGTTTCTGAGTCCTTTCATTGTTTAAGTTATTTTTTCTCTGGAATTGTGTCAGTTGCCAAATTATGAACTCAAATATGAATTTTGTATTGGAAATATCTTGAATGTAATTTAGTTCAAATTTCTCAATCTTTTCCACATAATCCCTGAAAATTAATGAAACACTGTTCAAATATATCCAGTAAGAGAAAGCTCAACTGCTTCTTGATAAATATTATCAGACTGATGAACAATTGATTTCCAAGAAAACAAAATTTAAAAAAATTACCAACTCTTTGTATTTAGTGAAAATATACCTGATTACCTTTTTTATTCCTATATCCAAGGATCTAAGAATGATAATCAGATGGAATGCTTGCTAAGTATTATGAATTGTTTTTAAATTAAGTATAGCATGGTAATTTTTATACTTAATTTTTATAGTAACCTTATAATATGTATATACTATTACCTCAATTTGAAACATGAGTGTAGAAGCACACAGAAGTTACATAATTACCCCAAGATCTCCTAACTGATCATTGTGTAATAGTTATTTGTACAAGAGTAAATGGCTGCAGAATTCATGATTAAAAATTGTTGTGAATGGTATCCATGTAAATGGTATTTCAAGAAAGTCAAATTTTTGTGGCCTGTAGTACTCAAAACTACAGAAACAGACTCAATGTGAAATCTGCAAACTCAACAAAGAGAACAGCATAAATAATTTATCGCTTTTTTTTACAAGATTTATTTTTATTTATTTATGCATACAAGAACTGTGGTCAGATCAGAGGTGCGGGGGCCTGAGGGGTGGGTGGTAAGAGGATTCACCAGAGACAGAGTGGGAAGCAGAACAGGCAGATTGACTGAAATACACTGCTGAGGGGAGCAGCAGGAGAGACAGGAGAGGTCTTCTGTGCCATGTGGGTAGCTCCCTGGGGAAAAAATTCCATGCTACAATGGCTGCAGACAGCTTCATAGTGCTCAGGCTTAACCCCTGAAAGACTCCTTTAGAGCAAACACACTTTCAATTCCAAAATGTAAGTGATCATCCACCATCACATAAGTCACCAACAATACTATTTTATGTGGACATTCTGACACTTTTTTTGTGTGTGTGGTTTGGAAGCAGTCTATTGGACAACATAGAATTTATGAGAAAACTTCAAAAAGATCAGCTATATATCTTTAAATGGATTTTTAGTGAAGACTGAATAGAAATAGGAATCCTAACAAGAAAGGAAAGAAGAAGATAAATTAAACAAAGAAAATCAATATGTCAAATGTTCTTTGTGTATGGGGAGTCAGCAGATAAGTGATTGATCTAGAGCTTGAAGTAATTAAGATGTCATTACTTACCAATAGGAATGCAAGCTCAGTACTGGGGAGAATCCTGGAGGAATCCTGTCCTTGAAGTTAGGAAATAATGACTAGAACAAAATTGTATTCAATTAATAGCTTACATATATATTTTTTTCCTTCCAAGTGGAAGAGAGTATATAATCAATCTTCAGATTAGTTTTTTGTCCAAGAGTAGAGGTAAATTCACTCTTCTGAAATGACTAAACTTAGTAACATGTAAGAGAAATATCAGCACAAAAAATGAGAAACAATATTAAGATTCTAGGTATGGCATTATTGAAGTTAATGCCTCAAACTGAATTTTGAAACAGATTGGAAAATTTATTGTCTCAATTGAATTGAGATATTGTTAATGAAGATTTTTTGTTTGTTTTCTAGAGAATGAATAATTAATCCTAATGAGTAATTTAATAGATTGATTAATTTTATCTAATATTAAGTGCCACAATAAAACTCTCTTTTTAATGTGGGCATTAAATAATTAAATATATTTACATTGATTTTTATGCTACTGTTTTACCCTGCTGTTTTCCTTCTACCAATAGGAATGGTAGGGTTACAATTGAAATTCACTGAAGAGTTTGGATTTCTGGACTTGTAGACTAAAAAAAAGATTTAGATACAAGAATATTATAGAAAATTCTGTGCACTTTGCATGATTTCTGTTTTTTTTTTCCAATTCAGCATATTTTTCAATACACAGTATACATCAGAAATACAAAAGTATTTTTCCATTAGTGTTTATAAAAGAGACTGTTCACTGAGTTGTATTAATTATTCCACTTACTGATTCTGTGGACATTGTATCTAGGAAAATACAATGCAGAACATTCACAAGAGATCTTTTTTCAGGTTATGGCACAAGAAAGAGAAGGACTTGAATAGATAATTACTTGAAGATGTCATGCAATGTGCAATAATTACAAAATAATTATAAGTAAAAAAAATAAAATTTCCCTTATTTAACCTGTTTTATTAATTACAAAATGTTATCTATCACTTTGATCACACACTTTAAAATATTCTAAGGGAGTTTTAGAGCCTGCTGATCAAGGTGAAACTGACATATTCAAAGGATTAAAGAATTGCTATAAATTTTAAATAAAAAAGAAAGTTAATGGCAGGTACTGTAAAAATTTAGGAAAAAATAGGTAAAATATAAGATGAACACAGACTTCTAAACTATATCATGGACTATAAAGATCAAAATAACACATCTAATATTATTATTGAAGCTATATAAAAATATTTTTTTTTACATTCAGTCATGGGCAGATGAGATTATTATTTAGTGACAAAGTATGACAGTATCTTGAAGCATATACTTAAACTGATACTTAAACTTAAACTGATACTTCACATTAATTCAGTCATTAAACAGTTACATGATGAGTAACCAAATGTGAAAAGAAACATTTCACTAACAAAACATAAAGAGCAATTTTATAAAGGAGGTTATAGTGGGGTTTAACCAAATCTCAAAAATCAAGGAATTCAAAAGGAAGTTTAATTGGACAACTGAAGAAACCAGGAGTGAGATAGTCAAATATTATTTAAAGAAAATTATAAAAAGATTGCAGAGAAGAAACAGAGAAGAAAGACAGCAGATAGGTAAAATAGGTTATCCAGGGCATTAAGAATGGTTGAAGGACACCGCTACAAACTTGATACTAAGGGATGACAACCATAACCTCTCAAATTATTAGAATAGCACCATACATGGTATGAAATTGTATTTAATTAGCCATAAGTCTACATTAAATCTCTGCTTGTATTTTTATGTCTTTGGATATAAAGTGGGAAATTTATATAATTATATAATATTGTCATCCACATATTGCCTGAATATCATTAATACAATTTTACTAAAAGTAAAGGTTTCCTTTTAATAATAATTTCATATGATTTATTTTTGAAGGTTTAATAGAATCCACAAAAGTTGTGAATTGAAGCAAAGCACAAATTATGTGTTCTAATATTCTGCTGAATGAGATGGCTAAGGAAAGCATACTTTCAAATATTTTATTAGATCTATTATTTTAAAAATTAACAAATATCTCAATATTTCATTAATTAAATTAAAATCTAAACTACACTGCATAATATCTCTGCTAAAGGATATTTCCATCAGATTCCAGCATAAATTTTCATTTATTAAAAAAAAATCTAAGTATTTTATATTTGATATTTGGACATTTCAGGTAAAATGGGATTTTCTCAATTTTTCTGGGTTCATGGTTCAATAACATTTTCCTTTACCCTTTGAAAATAATCTCTGGTGTAATAAAAACCATTTTACAGAGAAGGTTGTGTACAATGTTGATGAAGGAAAATAAGGGAGTGAAGTATGGGGATTTAAAGTTGACAACTTCCTGACAGATAGTGAATAAACAAGCTTTACAAAATTCAGACAAAACTTGGAAGCCAGGCAACCTTTAATTGTGTGAAGTAATTCTGTAGTAATGATAGACAAATTTAACATAGGAAATATATAAACAATATTCTAAGCATTATTACAAAGCTTAACAACACATATAATGCACAGGTATAATACACTATGAGACATGGTGTAATACACTAGTGTAATACACTATGAGATGTGGTAAGTAATGGGATTTGAAGAGGGAGTTGCAAAAAACGTGTTTAAATAATAACTTATATAATGGTCATTGTTAAATATTGATCATGCAAAATATTAAATGCCAACAAAAGGTGAAATGTACTGGGTAAGTGTGTGGATTTTTTAGCCATAATTCTTGGTTTCTACTCCAGCCAATAGTACATTCTAAGGATGTAATTTTGAACAAGATATTTGATCTTTATATGTGTTTGTTTTTTCATCTCTAAATAGGTGTAAACACTACTTATCTCAAACAAATTGTAACTTAAAGAGCTAATGCATGCGAAGTGTTTAAAACCATCCCTATCCTGGGCCACTTAAAAAGACTATGGTGATTCTGTGTGTGTGTGTGTGTGTGTGTGTGTGTGTCGAGAAACGGGGTATAGACTAGAGGTGTGGAGGGTGAGAGGATTCATCAGAGACAAAGTGGGGAGCAAAACAGGGGTATCTTCTGCAATCCGCTGCTAAGGGGAGCAGTGGGAGAGACAGAAGAAGTCTGGTATGCCATGTGGGTTAGGCCATAGCCATGAGAGTACTGAGAGTCAACCCTAGGCCCCCAGGGAGGCCCCATTTTCAAGTTCTATTTTTAAGATCTATTCTCAGATCTCTTAAATTCTATTTTTAAAAGAGTTTATGTATAAAATGAGTATTAAAATATGTAACATTATATAAATTTAAGATAATTTACAAGTATACCAATAATATAGAATATATACTTACAAATTACACAAATTTAAATTGAATTGTGATATTAAAATAATATTGACCGAACAGTTCAAGAAATTCTTCTTGTCAGTAGAACAACTGAGAATTCCATTACATAATCGTTTCCCAGGGGAAAAATTTGAAACCTATCAACGGAATCATTTAAAATTGCGCTGTAAAAAATCCTGCACTGTACAAATCACTGGAGGGTATGTTTTAAGGAACAATCCTATAATATGATGAGTAGTGGTCTATATTATCAGTTACATTTTTTGTATTTTTCTTTGTTAATTCAGGAAAAATATGTTAGTATAGAAGTTTAATCATGTTCTTAATAGATTATAATGTAATATTTGAAGTTACTGTGTTCAAAACTGCAATTTCAAAATAAAGTAAAAACATAAATATTGTTAATTATTTTCTTTCTCAAATTTATTCATTTAACTCAGTCCCAAATATTGCATTTTTTTATAAAACTTCTTGAATACTACCAGAGTTTTCTTTGGATATTATTGTAGGAAAAAATATAGGTAGAAAACCAATTGTGGTTTGTTTGGATCATTACTTTAGTTAAAATTGTTGATTTTTCTAACTTCCCTCAACTGACTTTGATGGTTTATTGTGATGATAATATTATGAATGTTACTTCAAAATCTATTTCAACAAATTACTTTCTAGTACTTAGACATGTAATGATTACTTCACATAAAAAACAAAACAAAATCCTTAACATTTTACTGGAAAATGAATTTGTTAGCTATTAACAAAATTCACTTCTTTTAAACCCAGCTAAGTTTAACAAGAGCAGTGAAGCTTTATCAGTATTTCTCCATATAATGATTTTAAATGTTTTAAAATGTTAATGGTATTATTTCTGAACTTAACTTTGATGATATGTGTTTTCCTTCATAGTATGTTTTTCCCCCCAAGAAATGCCTGCATATAAGGCATTTACAGAAGCAGTAATAGGTTATATTATAGTGCCTTATATGTACACATCAATACATTGATTCATTTATTTTACACATAACTGAAGATGCTTTTCTGGAGACTGTAAAATTTAAAAAAATGCAGTCTGCTCTATGAATTTGTAATATTTCAGTAAAAGAAAACAAAACAGATATTATAGAAAGAATTCAGTAGGACAAATACTTTAAAAGATATATTTATTATATTCAAAAGATTAAAGATACACTGTCAGATCAAAGATTGTGTCAAAATTTAAGGAGATTACATATACATACATACATACATACACACACACACACACACATATATATACACCTATATATAAAAATGAATTTTTAAGGATAAATAAGTCTAAAAGTGAAGTCATAGAGCTGAGATCATTTTCAGTTGTGTAATGACTGTAGATAGAATGGAAATTGGAGATAATGTAGATAATAGAAGGTGTAACAAATTCAATTTTCCATAGACTATGGGACAGATCTGGAAGAAATACTTCAATAAAATTAGGATAGCATTAGTTTTCTTTTAAATTCATAAATTACCAATGAAACATCCCTGGTGTTGTTCACAAAAAAGCTAGAAATGTTGATGAACAATATAAAAACTAACAGAGGGTAAAGCAACATTGAGCAAGAAATCTTACTGAAGTATTTCAAATTTTACAGAAAAAATAAGCAGTAGTTAAAAACCTCTTTAATGAGGGTCTCCATGCTGGTGCTGGGGGGTTAAAGTCTCAGCACTATCAAGCTATCACCAGCCATTACAGCATGAGTTAGATCCCTGGCCAGGAAGCTAATCCACATTGCGCAGCACACCTCTCCTGTCTCAAAATTGGGAAAGATTTGGTAACCTTCTTTCATGTGCTAATTGGAAAAAAGTTTCTTTTGGATTCTACATGATATTGTGCAGTATGTTGCACTTTTTTTAAAGATTTATTTATGTATGCATACAAGAGCTGGGGTACAGGCCAGTAGGGGAGGTGAGAGGATCCACCAGAGACAGAGTGGGGAACAGAACAGGTAGACTGACTGAAATACACTGCAGAGGGGAGCAGCGGGCGAGACAGGAGAGATCTGCTTCTCCATGTGAGTTGTTCCCTGAACGTCCAGGAATCGAACTTGTGTTGCAGAGGCTGTAGTTTGCTTCATAGTGCAGTGCTTAACCCATTGTGCCACCAGAGAGGCCTAGTATGTTACGCCTTTTACATGGCTATTTAGAACATTATCTACTTTATTCAAATGATATGTACTGTGTTAACATGAAAGCTAGAGTCACTGAGGGGAAAATTCATCTATTTCTTTAAGGTAATAGGAAAGAAGTCCGGTACTTTATTTAGTACTCAACTTGATAGTTGTGATGGTTAATTTGTCTACTTAACTGAGCCATTGGGTGCCATGACAGTTGGTCAAACACTATTCTATATTTGTCTGTGAAAGTGTTTTGGAAGACTGACATTTGAAGCAACAGACTGAGTAAAGCAGATTGTTCTCCTTAATGTGGTTGAACTTCATACAATTAGTTGAAGGCCTGAAAGGAACAAAAGTACTGACCACCCCATGAATAAGAGGAAACTTCTTCGGGCTGCTTTGAGCAGGAATGCAGCTATAGACCTTAACTTGCTTTCTTGGGTCAGGGACGTGATGGTTTTCAGATTGCAATTTCTGTTATCATTTCTTTCTGTTCTAAATTCTTCAGACTCAGATTGAACTCTCTAGGGCTCTGGCTTGTCAAATGTACAATTTGGTATTTCTCAGCCTCTATAATAGGATGAATCAATGCCACTATCCTATTGATTCTGTTTCTCTGGTGAGTCCTGACTAATGTGGTAGTATACAGACAAGTACTAATTAAAAATAATAGATTGAAATATACCTGTTGAAGTAAGGATAAAGGCTTGCCCCTATGCTTTTCTTAAATTTATGTTTTTACTTTCTTTTATCTTGTAAATTTCTCTTTCTCTCTCTTAATTTAATCTTGTATAGGAAAGGAACTGTACTTTCGTTTTAAACTTTTTTTCTTTTTAAGGTAACCTTTTAATTAATGTATAATTAATATTAAGGATTTACAGCCTTATATATGGTTCAGAGATACAGGATCACGCCACTTCAGAGTATGTTGCCACAACATATTCACTACCAAAACACTTCTAGTCCTCAATCATAGTCCAGTATACCCACTCCACACTTTGTTTTCCAATCTTTCTCTCCCCCTCAGCTTGCTTCAATTCTATACTCAGATATCTAGGGTTTGTTTTGGTTGGTTTTGTCTGATCCTTTGTTTTATTTCTCTATATTCCAAATATAAGTGACACCATCCAGGATTTATTGTTTCCATTATGATTTATTTTGCTTTCCATTATCCTCTTCAGTTCCATTCAAATTGTTGTAAAAAGCACATTGTTGTAAATAGTGCTGCAGTAAACATAGTGGTAGTAATATCCCTTCAAATTACTAGTTTTTAAAAATTCTTTGGAAACATTCTTAGGAATAGAATTGCTGAATCTTAGGCTAGATCTATTTTAAATATTTTGAGAAACTTACATACTGGTTTCCATAAGTTTTTAAACATTCTACAGTCCTATTAACAGTGTAAGAAGATTCCTTGTACTCTACATCCTCAACAACACTTCTTTGTGGTCTCCTTAATGTGAACAATTCTTTCTGGTGTGAAATGGCATCTCATTATGGTTTTTATTTGCATTCCCTTGATGGTAAGGAGTGATGAGCATTTTATTTATGTCTATTGGCCACTTCTATGTCTTCCTTGGAGAAGTGTCTATTGAGGTCTTCTGTCCATTTTATTTTTTTAAATTTTATTTTCTATTGATTTGTATGAATTCTTTATAGATCTTAGATGTTAGATGCTTGTCAGTTGTGTGGTGTCAAATATTTTCTCCCAGTCAGTAGGGTGCCTCTCTCCTTAAAATATACGTAAGTCTTTTCAAAGGTAAATAAACCTCTTGAGAGTCTCTTTCTTAATGATTGGGTCTCAGGACAATGAAAGAGTGTGTTTTTTTTTTTTTCAGTTTCCCATTACAGCCAGAGAAATTATTGCATTCTCAAAGGGCAGTACTAGGACATCTAAATCAATGTATGGTTTTGTTATCATTCCACATGTTATAAAAGAATAAATTAACATACTAAAAATAATATTGGGAAATCTTTTGTATACTACAAAACTTTTTTTTTTTCACAGGTTGACAATTTGTGTTTCAGAGCAAAAGTCCAGAAGAGTATTCACTATCCTTAAGGTGAATTATCATTGCCCAGATGAAAAATACCACAGGAAAAAAGAAATTAAGATGTCTAGATCATGGTTAATAGCATGGATGCTCACTTTCATGGCAGTTTTGGACCCAAATTTGACTTACACCAGAATTTAATAGAAAACAACCAATCAAACTCTCCTAACTTACATTGATAGATAGATAGATAGATAGATAGATAGATAGATAGATAGATAGATAGGCAGATAGATAGATAAATACTGCACCCCAGCCTCAGGGAGATGGATTTTGGAGTCTTATCTCCAGTCTTCCACCAGATGATGTTGCATGAAAGTATATCATTTCTCAAATGCTGATGGATGGTTGTTGGCTTCTGCACCATCAAGCATTAGACCCCTATATAATATCAGAAATCTAGTGTCTAACACAGTGCTGGGACAAAGATCATGCTAATATCTTCCTTTTACAACTGAAATAAACTTTGGAATCTCCTTTCTAAGATACTAAGTCAAGTGCTAAATAAGTTAGTTTAAGTTAGAATGATTCAAGTATGTTTTCTAACATGAAAACAGCATATTTTCATGCTCAAGGTAATAAAGATACAGAGAGAATGAGGGAAGATAAGCTGTTGCAAATAAAGGTAATATGCAAATATGCTGAATTTCCTCAAAATATCAATATATCCAATTGAATATTTGATTATAAAAATACAGGTTGAAATGATCAATCACATTAAACAAAACAAAAATTTCACTTCAGGAAAAATTTCATGTTTTTACAAATCATTTAAATATGTTGCTTTCTTTCTATCTATATTGTGAATCAATATATTTTTAATAATTAAACTTGTTCTTGATTAAAATGCTATCTTTATATCTTGCTTGTGAAAGCAAAATATTTCAATAGCTTAAGTTATCAATACTTAAATAAACATATGCTCTAAACATTGTTTATAAAGAAAAGCTATTTCTCATTTAAAGAATGAAAAGAAAAATTAAATAATAGCATCTTCTTAGAAACATGAAAATGAAATTCAATTCACAAAAATGTTCTCTGTAAATTCAAAGATGTCAGAAATACAGGTGTCAAATATTCACAAGCTATTTGATTACCTGAGGGTTACATATTTCAAACAATGGAGAAAATATAGTATAGTGTATAACTCTCAGAATAGACTCTAGGGAGTGTGATAAAATTACAGGATAAAGAGAATATGGGATTATTTAGTCTTTGAAAAAGAAGACATTTGACATCTTTATATATAGATTGCCAGGGGAATTTGGTTCACTTGGCACTGTGAAATATGTTATACTTTTCTCAATTTATTTCTCTACAAAAAGAACTAGAATTTGCAAATATATCACATTATCCCAGTAGCTTTGACTGTGGGCTTGCTGACAGAGGGGAAAATGGGACTTTATTGACTAGTAATTTTTATTTAGAATATGGGACATAATAAATTAGTGGTGAAACTATAAATTCCCAAATAGATAAATAAAAATATATTATTTTTACTTAAGTTTTATAAACAAATAAAAACTCATCTGAACTTGAAATCTCTGGAGAGTGACTAAAAGCAAATAGATTCTAGAGATGATTATCTGTAGAGTGGTAGCATGTGAATTTCCCATATTTATGATTTTTGCAGTGAAGACAGGCCCCAGTACATGCCATTTAAACTATAAAACTGATAAAGATATCTTCATGTTACAAACTTCACAAACCAGAAGATTCATTTCAAGAAATTTATAACATATTGAAACTGTGGAGAAGAATCTTGAAAAGAGGACTTCAGAGAGGAAACAACAAATCCTGTATATAACCTCTTCCTAAAACTCTGGCTAACCCCTGTGATGTGAATATTCAGAACAGATGACAAGCATCCTTGGCTAACTATAAAATGGAACAGAAAATTCAACTGCTTCCCACAGTCATAAACATAGAGTGTGCAGTTCAAGTAAATATACCACTTGATAAAGCATTAGTATATGGGCCCCTAAACAAAAACTGTGTATCTATTCAAAACAAATACTAATTATTTCTTTATTGTGAAAGACTGACATGGAATAGAAGGGCATTGTGATAGTAAGTAGGAGTTTTATTATCATTTCCTAGGACATTGCAAATGTCAAGATAAAACAATGAGGCAGAAATAAATTACATTTCTCATTAGTCTCATCCTCTCATGACTACCTCCATCAGATAACTCCTCTAAGCCATACCAGGCTGCATTTTCCTGTGATTGCATATCTCATTTAGCATAATAGCCTCTGGGTCCCTGCATGTTTTTTGCAAATATAAGGACTGTCTTCTTGTTTTTAAGGATGAATAGTATTCCATTGAATGTATCTGTGGCATTTTCTTAATCTTTTTGATCTATTAAGGGACCCTTGTGTTCTTTCCATATCTTGATATTTCATGAATAAGCAGTGAAGAAAAACTGACTGAGATATCTCTGCAGGATTCTTTTTCATTTATTTCAAATATATACCTAGAATGTGATAGTTGGGTGATATGGTAGTTCTATTTGTAATTTTATGAGGAGTCCCCATATTGATTTCCATTTTCCATTCCTAATAACAATCTACAAAGGTTTCACTTACTCCACAACCTTTTCAACACATGTATATTTTTAATACAGAACAGTCATCCTAGTAGGGAATACGTGATGCTTCATGGTAATTTTGATTTGCAGTTCTCTGTTAATTAATGATGTTTTTCATATACCCATTTGTTTTTTGTGGGCCTCATTTGGGGGAAATGTCTATAAAGTTCTTTCACTTTTTTTTATATCGGGTTTAGATTTACTTTAAGACAAGTGGGTTTTTAACAATATTGATTTTTAGTAACTAATTAAAGGTGCTCATTACATTGCTAAGACTCTGGGTGAGAAGTTTTAACTAGAGATTTCAGAAAACGAAGCATACTTTTGCCATTTGTTTCTTTTTAAGTTAAAGATAATCTTTAAGTGTTTAATTAATTTTATTGGTTTTTGGGTATGATGTAAGGTAGAGGTACATTTTTTATTTTTATTTTTTTTAATTGAGGTGATGTTGATGTATAAACTTTATATGTTTTAGAGATATGGGATCATACTTTTCAAGTAGATGCTACTATACTATATCCACTACCAAATTACAGTTGTATATTTTGCATATAGATGTCCTGATTTCCTAACACTATTTGTTGAAGTGACTATGTCTTCCCATTGTATGTTCTATTACCTTGAGTGTGGTGATGATATCACAGGTATCTGCTTATGCCTAAAATCATAAAATATGTGCAAATTTTTGTACATTATATGCTTCAATGAAGCTGGTAGTAAATAAGCCAATTCTTAGTTTTTAAGCACACACTCCAAACAGACATCTGTATTTTTAATATAGAGAAAAATAAAGTCTAATATTAGAGTGGGTGGAGTTGAGTGAACATTGCTGAAAATAAACTATAGAAGCAAAAGAATTTTTTGTTAAAAAATTTCTCTTACTTTATGTGAAATTTCACTCTTTACTACATAAATAGCAATCATCTCCTTGCACTTCAATATTGTCACATCTCATAAACCTGGCTGAGTGCATTGAGTGGATGAGAAAACTCCAGGGAAACATCAGTTACTACAGTAAGTGGGATCAGTGATTCAGGAACGTTAGCTAATAAATAATTTCCCAAAGTCCCAACTTTGTATAGGTAGGAACCAGGAAATGGAAGTCACTATTAAATAAGGCCCTGCCTCTATTTTAGTACTTAAAGCTGCCCTGAGATATTTCTCAATATCACTGTAGAAATAGTTTCTTGGCTAACTCCCAGTCCAGAAAATTGCATACATTCTCCCTAAATTCTCCCTGATATTAAAAAGTGGGTACAAAATGTTAAGGACTGTTTCTCATAATGCTTGCCAGTAATTCAACCACTGGTCTGACACCGGATCAAGCAAGCAAGAGTGTTTAACTATACTGTCATAGTGATCTTACAAATAGTCTACTGAATTTAGAAAACTACAAGATCTGATTCTAGATATCTAAATAAAAATGTAAAAAGAAAATTAAAATGTGGGATTTATGATAATGCTTCCACATTTATTTGAGTGTAAAGCATAACAAAGCCACACACACACACACACACACACACGCAAAAAAAAAAAAAAAAAAAAAAACAGAAATAATCAACTGTAGGCATTAACCTGAAGATGACACATATTATTAAGCACATCTTTAAATCTAGGTTCACAAACTAAACTGAGACAGTAGCAAGATAAGTAACGCAAAATTTTGAATTAGCCCAAGTGAATGGTGGAGGATTGAATTTAGGAGCCTAATTAATTTTGCACCAGTAGATGGGTATGGATTTTTTTTCTTTTTCAACATTGTGCTATCCAAGCAATACAGGACTGCAGCTGATTCTGACTCAGAAGCTAGCAACTTAAAACTGTTGTTTTAAATAAGTCTGCTTAGGAAAGCCGTAAACTTTTGCTTTTTCGCTTTTCAGGATTTGTTTTTTTTTTTTTTTGGTAACTTCTCACACCTCTTTCAGCTCATGTTATCTATTGTGTGGATGTCTTCCACCCTATAGAATTTTATCTAATAACAGCAATGGTAACTAACACTTCCCAGCCACTAATTTAACCATCACATTTCGATATACAGTTACTTGTTTTCCCCATTCTCCATATAAAGAAACAGGAAAATTAAATCTAATAACTTGTCCATGATCAATTACATAGTAAGGGACAAGGTTTGGAATGACTCAAGACATAATGAAACTTTAATATATAGACATAGAAAGTTCTAAATTTAAATTATTTTAAAATGTTATATTAAGCAAATAAGAACGGAAAGCAATACTGTGTTAAGGACTGTGTTAAGTTATAAAGATTACATGTTCATTTTTTGGTGAGCAAAAGAGCAAAGGTATCTATGCTGAACGCATCCCAGGAACTCACCAAAACATAAAATAAATAATCAGACAAAAATGGAGAAGGGTGAAAGGGAAATACACCAACATTCTATTTACTCAGACGACACTGA